GTGGCTGTGAAGTCTTGGTCTCAGACGTTTTTCCTTTGGTTTGATGGTACAAGTTTTTCACAGATCTCAGTGGCTCTGCTGCAGCTGTGGAGTTTCAGTCTTGGTGCAGCACTCTGTCAATAAGCAGCCACCCTGCTGAGTGAAACTTAGCTATATATGGGATAAATGTGGTGCAATGAAAATCCTATTGCCGATATAAACCTTTTGTTTACATATGATCATTTTCATATTGAATTCTACTGCAGTGGTTACCATTAGAAAAAATTTATCTTTTCCCTCAATTGTACTCAGTAAAATGTCAGTAATATTTTTTATTAATAAGACATGTTTTGTGAAAATGCTGGTTGCAGGGTTGTAAGTTTTAAAATAGAGCTCTGATATTGTTTATACATTGTTGACAAAGAGGATAATATGTGGCTCTATAGTTTAGAGGTTAGCAAATACGTTTAACAGTTACATCATCCTGGAGTACTAGGATTCGTTTCCCATGGTGGCTGGTGTAGCAGCTAGATGCTTGCCTGCGGATCAGAAGGTCACGGGTTTGGGTCCTCATAGAGCCAAACTTCTATTTGTTTGTTTTGTTTTTTGTTTTACAAAAATGACCTTGGCTAGCAGATTGATCCAGCCTTGAGTGGGTACTGACTATGTGTAGTCCTGGGAAGTGAAGACAGTCGACGTGATGCTGCTGTCCTGAACACATCATCCACCAAGTGCTCATTGGTCTATAAAATATAGGTAAAGGTAAAAAAAGTCGGGAGATGTGAACCAGCGTCATTGCACACGGTTATAAACCATTAGTGCTCTGCCACCCAGTAGGGACAACTGATAAGAAACTGTCCGCCTGTGTCGCCGTCCGCACGTAACTCCGTAGCTACAGTGGCCTTCTTCCATTTACCCCAGAGTGCCAACTCTGGTACCCATTTCCTAGAGGCTGGGTGAACCCCAGGAACCACCTGGTTTCGAACACCGACCGTGGGCTGCAGCGAGTTGCAGCTGGATTTGAAAGTGAGTCTCATATTGACTGCGCTAATGCGACCACCTAAAATATAGGTCTAGCCCATATATGCCCGATGTGCCTGAAGGCGTGGAAAAGGGTTCTAGAGAGAGAGAGAGAGAGAGAGAGAGAGAGAGAGAGAGAGAGAGAGAGAGAGAGAGAGAGAGAGAGAGAGAATTGTAAATAAGTAAAGGACCCTTTTGACTTTATTGGCGCATCGGGCATATGATGTTAGACTCACATTTTAATAGATCAGTCTAGGTTGAAGGGTGATATGGTCAACTGCCCTTACTTCTTTGGACAATACCTGGTACTAATTTGAATTAGCGGTTATTGTAAGTGTAGAAAATGCTGACTGTTTTATGTAAAAAGGGATAACTTTTGATGGTTGTTTAGCTTCGGATAGCATCTCGCCAAAAGGGACCCAGGGACTCAGCATGGGAAGATATGCATTTATCGTAGCTGACTTAAACTACAAATATACATTTCTGCTGGATGTTTGTCTCAGACCAACCTTCCATAGTTGACTAGTACATGATAGTTAAAACCTTATGTTAGAATGTAAGTCAAGATAATGAGGTTTTTCTAAAAAACTCAGTGGCACACCAGGCACACATTCTAATCACATTTGTATAGAGCCATCAGCACGCAGCAGTGAATGTGGTCAACAGCACCCTGGATGCCTTTACTTCTCATCATATTGCCTGGTACCCACTTAGGATGGGTTGACCTGGGAGCCAAGAAAAAGTGGACTTGATGTGGATTTGAACCCAGGTCCTTCGGACAGGCTGACCAGCATGTTCGAATGTACACTGTTGGTAAAAACCCTGTCCTCTTTTCACTCTGGAGGTTTCATTATAAAGATACTGAAGAGTGATCTAGTTACCAGTTATTGTAGCTAGCGCAAGTGACATCTCATATTTACTAACCCTGATTCATTTTCAAGCCCAGAAATGTAGCAGTCTTTTAAATCTCCCAGGATCCATTAAATGCATGCAGTTTCCCTCCACCTATTCTTGTGTTTTGTTTTACAAATTCATAAATTGTGTGTTACATCAGCCTTTGTTTGTTTTTGTTTATTGTACATCTGGTAAAATGATAGCGAAAATTGTTTGTGTATTTTACATTGAATTCATGAAACTGTTGTCCCTTAGACTTGTTTTGCAGTTGGTCTAGGATTGTAGATTCAACAGGCCAGCACACAGCACTTTTATTCTGATCCTGCAACTTCTGCAACAGGCTTTTATTTTAAATATGATCCAGGTCGGCGCCCCCCATAAAACTGTCTAAGGAGGTAGATAGGCCGAAACAATTGTTGAAGGGGGATACTTAATGAAGACCCCTACTGTGCATGCTCCCACTGTGAAGTTTTTATTATTATTATAAACGTATTGGTGTTACCTTTCCTTTGGTGTAAACAAGGCAGACTGAGAGGGGGGATCACGCTGCATGGGCAACACATGGTCTCTACAATACAGCCCAGGTTTTGTGCTCTGAGGAGAAACTTCATCCCTGACCTTAATGAACTGATATTCCCAAACCTCTCTACAACACAGTATTTATTATTTATACAACACAGTATTACACTACCATCTGAAAAGACAAAGAGGTGCCAGCAGAATTAAAATATATAACCATAGCTTTGTGTGATCAGTAAACATCAATGTCAGTGTACTACTGTATTCTTTTCATGTTCTAGTTATGTATATAAATATATATGTTATCTGGTTTTTTTTTTTAGCATGGTTCCTTAAGTTTAGTGCATGGAGCATGTTTGTCTAGATACATGGTGTCTTTGGTTTTGTTGGTACTAGTTTCTCTTCTAGATCAGTGCCTGGTCTCTTGGACTTGCATGCTTGTTGTTGCCTGAACCTTGCATGGCTTGTCTCCAGTAGTAACAGTGCATGCTTGTCACTGAGTAGTTATGACTTTTGTGTTGTGTTGATCAGCTGTTGGGGTTTACCTAGAAGTATGGGCATGTGGAAGTGATGGGGTGGATCAGTAGATGTAGTATGACAAGAGGAAGGGGAGCTTCAAATTAACACGATAAAAGTTTGATCAAAAGGATTTTTATTCACTGATGAATTTATGTAGGTTTAATCTCTTCACTGATTAAAAAAACCCGGATATTACTGAGCTGCTTCTTTTTGGTGCATTTTAGAAGTGGGGCAGCCGTAAACTGTCATTATGACATTACATGCTTGACACTCTTGACATCCTTAGGAATAATACTGACAGGTTACAAGTCAATGATAGGGTTATTGTAATTTCTATCCCACTTTTAAGTTTTTCATTTGCAGCCTCTTGTATTTTGTTTGCTCGCCTGAAGGTCTTAGGTTCAAGTCCGCATTGTGCTGGATTTTTGTTATTTTGACTTTTCCCTCCCAGGTCTACACAGCCTACAATGGCTATTTTGTAATGTGTGGGAAGAAAAATGTTGATCACATTATCCAAGTGCCAGTTTATCTAAAGAGATTGAGTCTAGCTTCACATGCCATATATGCTGTAAAAGAGTCCTTTCACTTGACTAGTGTTTCTGTTTGTTGGGAGAATGGACATATTGAGTGGAGCAGGCTGGGAAGTGACAGATTTTAATGATGGTGAAGTAGGCGGTGTGTAGTTGGCACTTTGGGGGTGTCTCTGCAGCGTAGTGTCAAAGCCATTTTTTGTCTCTTGCTGTGAAAGTCATGGGTTCATTTCATGGCTGATTTGTTAGTTCACTAGTACAGTTTTTATGGAGAACCCTGGGGATCGTCACCAGAGCTAGAGTGTTCGCGCTGTGTGCAACACTCAGCAGGCAGTTAGCTGTTTTATAGAGAGCAACTGAGCCATATTTGATAAAACTTGGTGCAATGAAGTCGATCATTTCAACTTTAACCTTTAATCTAGTTGGTCCTTTTTAAATTGTAAGAAAAGATCAAATTAAATATTTAAATAGCTAAATAAATAACGATTTAGATTGGACATACAAATTAAGTCAGATCAGTAAAACGGATGCGCACACAACATTCAAGTTCTGGAATAAGACTAATCTCTAAAGTGGACGAACAACCAGAACTTTCTGTTGGAGTTTACGGCTGGTGAAAAAGTAGAAGATTGCTTGATATATTCAGTGTTCATCACACTTGGAACAGTCCGTTAGTGCTCAGAAGTATAACTTTATTTCTAATGCAGTAAGGGAAAGTGCTATTCTCTGAACTTTTCACATCAGATTATAAACCTGTGCTGTTACATGTGACATTGTAGCCATATCTGTGTTTGCACGATTTGTAAGTATTTACAGCTAAGCTGCGATATGTGCATTTTTTGACCCAACACATTCAGTTTCAGCAAACTCACATTTTATGACATTCTTGGGGGGGGGGGGGGGGGGTGGAGGGAGTGGGACCAGTTTCATGAATCGCCCTCGGTTAATACGAATTTTGGAAAATTTGAGGTGATGAGCATGGTTACCTTACATCACTGATTCCCAATTAGTGATCCACAATCTCCACGTTGGTTGCAAGGCCCCAGACCCGCTGCCTTCCCAACAAGCATTGTCGTAGGAGTCGTCGGGCTTCCTTTAAAGTCAGAGTACATCTACCCAAGCAGCAAGGAACAAACAACTACACACAATTAAGCCAGTAAAAGGGATGTACATGCAAAACTCAGGCCCTGACACAAAGCCAAAGTCCAAATGGATGAACAGCTAGGACTTTCTTCTAGAGTTTACAGCTGGTCAACAAAGAAGAAGATCCACGGTACAAATGTGAGAAACTTTCCAAGAAAAGCCCTCAACCCTCTTTTCCTTTCTAATTTTTTATTATAATAAAGATTTACTGTTTTTAAATCTGGCTATTAAACAGGGTAGAGGGTTCATGGCTGGCTTTTGAAAATGAAAGGAGTCCACAGGTTTTATCAACTTGGAACCACTGCCCTAGATCTTTCTAAAACCTTATCTCTTTCTCTCTCCACTCTGAACAGTATTATTTGCTGCAGGATAACTGATACTAATTTCTTTTTCCAGGCTGTCTATTGTGAATGAACCCCTGGATCGCAACTCTCTGTGTAAGCCTCAGGTTTTGGACGATGGACGTTCGGTGTATACATGTGTCATTTGTCACAAGCAGTTTCTCTCCTTGTCTGACATCAACCGTCATATGGATTTTCATGAAGGTGAGTTGTACAGATCTGCTTTCAACTAAACATGTATATAACAAACAAATAACATGTTCTTCTGCTTCCTTACTTCTACTTTTACTGCTTTGCTTGTCGAGGGAGATGTAAGATTCTGCTTTTGCTCTTCTAGTTGCCTCAACAATAGACACGTCATGCTGTCGTTGTTTCTGTGATGTTATCTTTCCACCTTGTTCTTGGTCTACCTTGTGCTCTACTCTACACCCTTCTATTCTTTTTATGTATGCCTTGTGTTATATGGTATCTCAGGGCATTCTCTCCAAGTGGGCAGACTGTTTGATTTGCTGTCTTTGTATGTAATTTAGAATTGGTTCTGCGCAGACTTCTTCTGTTGTGACCTCATTTCTGATTTGACCTCTTTCTGTCACTCCTGTAGCCTTTCTCAGATGTCAAATCACAAAACTAAGACAGGGGCTGAGCCACTTGAAGCCCACATTGTATGACATTAACACCTTCTGATGTGTCTGTATATTCGTGTCGTAGAGCGTCGGCTGAGCCACTTGAAGCCCACATTGTATGTCATTAACACCTTCTGATGTGTCTGTATATTGGTGTCATAGAGGGTCGGCTGAGCTACTTGAAGCCCACATTGTATGTCATTAACACCTTCTGATGTGTCTGTATATTGGTGTTATAGAGGGTTTTGTGAGTTCTATGATACCAAGAGCTGTGTCAACGATAGCTTAGCTACTGGCTGCCTTATACATGAGATCATGTGCGACTGGGATTTTGTGACATTAGTTAGTGCAGTTAACTTGTGAAGGCTTTGTGATTGTAATGTAAGAATTATTGTTGCTAAGCCAAAAAAATGTGTCTTCTTTTACCATATCAGATGTATTGTTTTAGATTCATATCTTTATAGGCCAGTTGGTACTCAGCACGTGATGTGATCAGGTTCACGCCAGCTGCCTTTATTTCCCAGGACATTACCTGGCACTCTTTTCAGGATGGATCAACCTGGTAGCCAAAATCAATTTTTAATAGAGTCCCCCGTGTTGGTTCCAGGCCCCATTGTGGGGAAAACAAGAATAGACCCACTGCCTCCCCAAAAGCATGTCATTAGAGTCGACTAATTGGGGGAGCTTTCTTTGAAGTCGGAGTGCATCTGCCGGAGAGGCAAGGAACCAACAGTCTGTATTCAAGAGAATAAAATCTGTAAAACTGATGCACACGCAACAGTCAGGTTCTGGAGCAGGACTGCAGTTCAGTAGTGGACGAGCAGCCAGAACTTTCTGCCAGAGTGTACAGCTGGTGAACGCCAAGAAGAAGAAGAAGAAGAATAGAGTGATTGAAAGATTTGAACTCTTGACCTAAGGGTCGGCAAGGGAGCATCTAGCCACTATGCTACCAGAGCACCCACTAATGGTGTGAACTCTTTCAATCCTAAACAGTTGTTACTTTAACCACTTCTATTTTAAATTTAAAGAGCTGAGCTTTAAAGCAACAAAAACTAACATCTGAATGGGTTCAACAAAAACACTTTGGGTCAGATGTTCATTGACACCTTTCCATCTCTCCAGACCATAGTGTTATATTGTCCTGTAGGGAGGTGTGAGGCTCACAACCCATAGCGATGGCAAGTGTCACCAGCAAGACCTGTCCATGTTCAGAAAAGTCTTTCATGATTATAGGATAGGATTTCAGGACGTTGTCATCATTATTCGTGTTTAGTGTATTTCTTCGAAGACTCTCAGCTCTTATCCTTTTTAGCTTCCAATTAGTCGACTCTTAGGACATGCTTTTGGGTAGGCAGTGGGTCTATTCTTGTTTTCTCTATAAAAGGGCCCCAGAACTCACACAGGGAGTTAACCAGATGACAACGGGTAGCATCCTTGTAGAGACTCTTTACTGGCTGTTGAGTATGGGGACGGAGCTTACATGGACTTGTCCTGAATGCTGTGATGTCAACTCTTTACACAGATTACCGCTTAGAAGACAGTAAATTTGCCCCCCTTCCCCCCAACTCCCCTATCCATTTTTTTGTATTACACATGTTAGTAAAAAATGTCATTGCTCATAAATTCTCTCCTGATGTTTCTTCCACGCTGCTGTCATCCAGTTGGTATGTTGAGTATTTATTTATTCATTTTAGTACTTTATTCATTTTAGTACTTGGTTGTCTATCATCTTTTTATTTCTTCAAATTGCCATCTTAATTTTATTCATACTGATTTTGTCTTATGTAAGAATCACAAGCCTTGGCAATTTCTTTTATGGCCATATAAGTTTTTTGCTTTGTATATTGTGGATTAATGTCTTGCCTGGGTTTGTCTTAATTTTTTTTTTTTTCAGTTGGCTATCATTTACTGTGTGCATTGAACCATTTGTTTTGGCACCTTTTTCTGTGCATGTATAACGCTTAAATTTTATTTTGGGTGTTGTGAGGTGTGTCTATGTTAGTAGTATACTTCTAGGCAACTCAGAAAGGTCTGACTTTTGTGTAATTGTAGTTACCCCCAGATCTATTAGAACTGTGATGATATCTTTGAAAAACTACATCTGTGATGAAGACACCAAAAGTTTGTGCCAGTGTACAGTGGGGGCAAAAAAAAAAAAAACAAGTATGCACACATGCATGCACACACACACCATTTAATCGTGCATTGGTATTGAAATTTAACAGTTATATCCATATTTAGAGTTTATTGAAAATGTGTAATTGTTTGTACTACCCAGATTTCTATTTGCACCATTTTTTTTTTAACGTGATTTAAAAAAAAAAAAACAATTAGGTTTGTTTTTAGGCATTACAAAAAATTTTTTGTTTGATTTTTTGTTTCTCAGTGATTGCTGGCAAAGGCATTTCACGGTGGCATAAAAATGTTACTTTATTACTTTACTATCACTCAACACACCATGGTGTAGTGGCTAGATGCTCGTCAGCGAATCCGAAGGTCGTGGATTCAGGTCCTGAATCTACTTTTACTCCCAGGTCGACCCAGTCTTAAATGGATACCAGATAAAGTCTTGGGAAGTTAAAGGGGCCAGCGTGATGCTGACCTCATCACCTACTGAGTGCCAATTGGTCTATATAATATAGGTCTAGCCCTGTGTGCCCAATGCGCCTGAAGGTGTAGAAAAGGATCAGTCAGCATGTTTTGTGTGCCTTTACATCACATGTTTCACCAAAGGCTTTTAGAAACTCTTGACAACCTATACAAGTGTAGTTGTGGTTATTGTGTATCCTCTGATATCAGCTATGAAATTGGAGGGTGGGGGTTAAAGAGTTGAATGAATAGGACAAAAAGGTGCAGCTGAATTGAATATAGCTGACTTCATAACACTTAGGACTTTCCTGTGAGCAAGCACTCCATCCCTATTTTAGCAGCCAGCAGAGTTCCAGTTGTGATGGTATCAGTAGTACTCCATCTTGTCTTTCCTCTGTTTCATCACCTGATGACTAGACTGCTTGTTCCCTCCCCCTTGCACCATTCTCTTCAGACCATAATGATCTGTGTCTAGGTACAAAGAAATCAAGTAGTTACAGTTTTCTCTAAAATAATGAAGTCACAAATATGCTCAAATATCTTGTGTGCATTATCATTTAAATTAACAAGGTGAAAACATTGTTCTGTGTTTTTTATTGTAACGTTTGCTTAAAGTTCAAATTAAAATAGCAATTTTTTTTTTTAAATTTGTTGCATTTGATTTCAGCTTTAATTGTACACCTTTTTTTAGTGTGTCTCAGTGTTGCTTGCTCGGATTCTGGCCCCTTTTTTTCCCAGTAAGAAATGACTGTATGTCATGAAGCTTTAGATGCCTTCAGAGTGATGGAAATTAAAAAAATAATGAATAAAGCTCTTAGTCTTGGTTCAGAACTTATGTGCACATCTGTTTTACAGATCTGCCTAACATATGCAGACTGTTGGTTCCTTGCCTCTCAAGCAGACTACTACTACTTTGGAAACGCCTAAAAAGTTGACTTTTTTAAGACGTGCTTATTAGGAAGACAGTGAATCTGTTCTTGTTTCCCTCATTGTGAGGCTCTGGAACCCAGATGGGGTTCCACATTACAGTAACCTTTAATTAATATTTGTGCATGTGTTAGGCATGGAACCCATAGCAGATAGTATACAGAAAATCACACAGCTTTTGTGTGTGGGGGGGGGGGGGGGGGGGAGGCAATTGATAACTTAACCACCAGTGGCTGTTTGTGTTTCGCACATTGTATTTTTTTAATGTTGTTTTAAAATTGATATGTTGCTTCAGTACTTGTTCAGTGCTTAAGATTCCACAGTACGTTAATTGATTAGGCTATTCAGTGCAGACCTAATTAGAACTCCTCAGGGACCCAAGAAAGGGTTTTTCTTATTAGAAATTTCTCTTATCTGGATAAAGAATTAAAACAAGAAAAATTTCTGTGGATAAACAAATAATTTTTTTACAACAGAAATTTGCCACATCTAAGATGTCTTTAAGCGGACTGCACGATACATGGTACATATTGCCTATTTCTGCACTGTTCCTCTTTTATATTGATTCCTTCTGTTGGAGACACTAATTTAGCCTTTTCCAAATATCTGCTTTTCTTAGCATTAATCGGTTGTAAACTCTAGTTTTGTTTGTCCACTTCTGGGCTTTGCTCTTGTTCCAAAACTTGGCTTTTGCGTGTACATCCATGTTACAGATCTGGCTTATTTGTGTGCAGACTGTTGGTTCCTTGCATCTCAGGCAGATGCACTCTGACTTTGAAGGAAACATCCCTAATAAAGTGTGGTCTAATCTTTTTCCTCCAAAAATGCGATCCCTGAACCCACATTGGGAGTTCCCTGTTACAATTTGAGACTCAAAGGTTGTCGCTGTAACAGACACAAACTCTAAAATAGAAAATACTGAATTAACACCTGTCTGGTACTAAAAGAGTTGACAATTTACTTAGTTGCTGAGATGCCCTCCCCCCCCCCCCCCCCCCCCAAAAAAAAAATGATTTAGTGTATTGGGTACAGCTGCTGTGTAGTAGTATAACCAGCTGTATTTCCGCAAAGTTTTTTAAGTTTAAAACTCTGGGTTGTTTTATTTTGTTTTTTTGTTTTTTTTTTTTTGTTAAAGTAAAATTTTCTATAAATTTTCTAATTAATATTAATTTGGGTATTTTATGTCAGGCTTCTATTTATTCTCACTTGTTATAAACTATTAAAATTAAATAAAATAATCAGCTTGGTATACACCCACTTCCACCCATTATTTAGTTGAGTCATCTCAGTGGCTCTCAGTGTAATGTGTAAGGTAAATTATATATCTTTTGTCCTTGCCTATAAAGGGTATCTGAGGTTAGCTGGTGTCATTCAAAACAGTGGGGGCCTCAGAGCTTTGGAAAGCTTAGGACAGGGCTGTTCAGCTAAGTTTACTCTGGGGCCACAAATTGGAAAATAGGGATTGTCATAGGCCCGATTCCAGCATAAGAGATCAGTAATACAGTACAACTGGCAATAATGATCCAAGGTCCATTTGTTAGGCCAATGTGGGCTGCCAGGGTCTCATCAAGTCTAAATCCTGCACTGGGCTGGCAATATATATCTAAAACACTGCATTGTGTGAAAAGTGATCCTGTTATTTTGCTCTACTTTGGCATTGAGAGTTTCCTCAACAATTTATGCCTCAGGGAGAAGGGGGAGCTGCTGCGTGTTCTCGAAGTGTGACGTCTGCTTCAAGTGCTCTAGGTCCCAGGCTCAGGCCCCAGTGAAGTTTGGGGTTTTTCATGTGAACATATACATTTTTCCTGATCTCTTGGTAGTAAGTTTCGACGCCTGTGTGTATTTTTGCAAACATTTTAAAAATTCCCTTGGTAGTTGGAAATAAAAAAAAGTAACCTCATGGCACCGCCTGGGCAAAATTTTGAGTTAAAAATCTACCTAAAGTATTTCAGGATCCTCGCTGAAGTAGATGGAACACTCAGGGTTACTACCCTTGTGCCATGATTTTGATCTACTGTTTAAAACCTAAACCTGTATACCTTAAAGGTTGAAACAAAGGAACTAGAGCTGACAATTTCAACTCATAATCCCATTAACTATCTCTTCTATGGTGCTACCTTGGTTTGATTACCTTTATTTGAGAATTTTGAAATGCTGGTGCAAAGTGCTGGAGAGAAATGTTTTGGTTTAATATTTTTAAATAACAAATAATATATATGTTAATGTATTAATTTTATAATGATGCTAACACAGTAACCATTTCTTATATTTATTAAACAGATATACGCCCCTACAAATGCAAGTACTGTGACTATTATGCTCGTACAAACAGCCAGCTTAAAGTGCATAAGCTTCGTCATGAAGGTAGGCCGCTGTTATATTTTTTATTCCATTTATCTAATGTTCTTTAGGTGAAGAAGAATGGTGAGGTCCGTAGATAATATCCATGAGTAGCAGTGGCAAAGATTTGTCCAAGCTTAGGTTGTAATGTCAAAGATTTGCCTACGCAAAAACTGTCATTGGTGACATCATCATGTGCCTTGCCAGGTGATATAGCTGTTGACTTCTCTTCTCATCATGTCCCCATGCCACCTTACACCTGCAGCATCACATCCCCATGCCACCTTTCACCTGCAGCATCATGTCCCCATGCCACCTTACACCTGCAGCATCACGTCCCCATGCCACCTTGCACCTGCAGCATCACATCCCCATGCCACCTTGCACCTGCAGCATCACGTCCCCATGCCACCTTACACCTGCAGCATCACGTCCCCATGCCACCTTGCACTTGCAGCATCACGTCCCCATGCCACCTTGCACCTGCAGCATCACATCCCCATGCCACCTTGCACCTGCAGCATCACGTCCCCATGCCACCTTACACCTGCAGCATCACGTCCCCATGCCACCTTACACCTGCAGCATCACGTCCCCATGCCACCTTACACCTGCAGCATCACGTCCCCATGCCACCTTACACCTGCAGCATCACGTCCCCATGCCACCTTGCACTTGCAGCATCACGTCCCCATGCCACCTTGCACCTGCAGCATCACATCCCCATGCCACCTTGCACCTGCAGCATCACGTCCCCATGCCACCTTACACCTGCAGCATCACGTCCCCATGCCACCTTGCACCTGCAGCATCATGTCCCCATGCCACCTTGCACCTGCAGCATCATGTCCCCATGCCACCTTACACATGCAGCATCATGTCCCCATGCCACCTTACACCTGCAGCATCATGTCCCCATGCCACCTTTCACCTGCAGCATGTCCCTGTGGTTGATATGATGTTTCTGCTGCTGTTTTCTTTGTTGCATTCAACAGCTGCAAACTCCAGTAGAACTTCTTGGTTGTTCACTTCTGGAACTAGTTCTTGCTCCATTATCATGTAGGAGGTCCTATGCAGAACATGGCTGTTATCGTGGTCTGTCTGAAAGAAACTCGGTCTCTCGCCAGCTCTCCTGTTTTGTGCCCTTTCAGATCCAACCAGTCACTTAAATCCTGTGCCCATGACCATGTATTGGTCAGGCCCTGCTCCTCCCTCCTGCTGCTATTATTTTTTTCAAGTCTACCATGGCACTTGACATGACCCAAATATTTTAGTTTCCGAGACAAGATGCTGTTTATTAGCCAATCTTCCTTGATGTTCAAATCTTTGGGAATGTCAGTATTTCTTCATTTCTTTGTCCATGGTTTGCTGTTTTTTATGGAGCCTAGACATTCAAAGTTTGTGACACTTTCCGTTGTCGTCATCATGTGTTATTTTTGGGTGACAACCAGTTTTTGTCTATGGACATTATTTTTCTTTTCTTTCAATTCAAGAATAGGTTTTAAACTTCACTGTGTTTTTGGATAGACATGATTAAATGTTCTATTTCCTTTGCATTGTTCGAAAGGAAGACTGTGTCATCTGCATAGAAAAGTTTAGGAATAGGGTTTCCACCAGTTAAGAGGGGATCATAACCGTTTCAAATCTGGTCATTTTTGACATTTCTAATGTTTGCTGCATATATGTATTGAATAAGTATGGTGAGAGAATTCACCCCTGCCTCACTTCTTTTGCACCTCGAACAAATCCAATGTTTCTCATAATATGATAAAAAACTGATGACTGTTTCTTTATGATGTTTGTAATAAGTAACATTTTTTATATAAAACTTTTTTTTAACAATACAGAACTAAGACACAAGCTTTTGTCTTTGGTTTTATTCCCAGGTGTGCGTGAGTTCTGCTGCAGAGTGTGCAACTACAAAGGTGTGACACAGTCCGACCTCAACCGACACATGAAGTCGCAGGTGCACCTACTGAGGTCCAACCATGTGTGCTCCCAGTGTGGGGAAGGTTTCGTCACTCCAAAAACACTCAGAGATCACATCTGCTGCACAGGAAGTGGAGACAAAAGTTTTGAGAATTGCTCTGCCAATGAAATCGATGATGATGCTAACAATGATGAGTATGAGGACGAGGAAATTGTAAATTCGGACACAAGATAAAAATTCCACTGCTGAAATAGGCCTCAGCTGAGGTTACCAAGCTAAGCTTCTTTTTGAGACTTCTCTAGTCTCTGAGCATGTATGTTCTTCTAAAGAAGGACATGTTGCTAAATAAAAGCAGTGGCCGAGAGAGAAGTACATCCACCATGAGCAGTGTGTGAACTAGGGTTAAGAAAGCATTTCTCTATTAATGGCTGTTTGTATGAGATAACAATGATCATGGAGTTGAAGAATACCTCAGTAAAGTGATGGATACTTTATGGAGTTTTAAATGTAGAACATTCCAGAACTGACATTTCTATTCTTGGCAAGTCTTCAGGTGTCACTAATGACTACTGGTGACTTGTCATGTGAAAATGCCAATGTGATTTAGGACTACTGAAGTGTGGACATTCTAGTAGATGATTCATGATTTATATCCTGAAAAGAATCCAGAAGGATGGCCAATCTTTATGACTGACCATGCCAGTAAGGAAGCGATCTGTTGGGTACATTCTAGCAGACATGTGATTTAAGTCTTAAAGTGTGGACACTTCAGTAAAGAGACAACTCATTCACAGTTTATGTGGTATGCACAATAATGAAATATGGTAAGTTTTGATGTTTGACCATTCCAGTTCGGAGATGATACAAGATTTTTGTTTTGTTTTGGGGTGACATTTCAGCTGACAAGTTGTTCAGCTTAATTAAAAGTGTGGATATTCCAAAAGGCTGGTTATTCAGTCTTAAAAGTGTGGACATTCCAGCAGTTAAGTGTGTCAGTCCTTATTACAGAGTGGACATTCCAGCAGTTAGGTGTGTCAGTCCTTATTACAGAGTTTAGGTTGTCAGTCCGTTATTACAGAGTGGACTTTCCAGCAGTTAGGGTGTCAGTCCTTATTTGGGACTTTCCAGCAGTTAGGTGTGCCAGTCCTTGTTACAGAGTGGACTTTCCAGCAGTTAGGTGTGTCATTTTAAAGAGTGGACTGGCAGTTAGGTGTCCAATTACAGAGTGGGACTGGCAGTTAGGTTCAGTCCTTATTACAGTGTGGACAGCAGTCCAGTCCTTATTACAGAGTGGACTTTCCAGCAGTTAGGTGTGTCAGTCCTTATTACAGAGTGGACTTTCCAGCAGTTAGGTGTGTCAGTCCTTATTACAGAGTGGACTTTCCAGCAGTTAGGTGTGTCAGTCTTAATTAAAATGTGGACACGGCAGGTGATTCATGAATTGTTTGTTGGGGACATTCCAGTTGGCAGGTGATTCATAATTTGTTTGTTTGTTGGGGTCATTCCAGTTTGCAGGTGATTCCTGATTTTTTTTTTGGGGGGGGGGGGGGGGGGGGGGGGGGGGGGGGGGGGGGGGGAGAATGGGAAATTGGGACATTCCAGCAGGCCAGGTGATTCATGATTTTTTTGTCAGGAACAATTCAGTTGGCAGGTGATTCATGAATTGTTTTTTGGGGACATTCCAGTTGGCAGGTGAATTATAATTTGTTTGTTAGAGACATTCCCACAGGCAGGTGATTCATGATTTATTTGTTGGGGACATTCCCGCAGGCAAGCGATTCATGATTTATTTGTTGGGGACATTCCCGCAAGCAGGTATTCATCAATTTTTTTAGGGACATTCCAACAGGCAGATGAGTTATGATTTATTTGTTGGGGACATTCCAGCAGGTGGGTGATTCATCTTAAAATGGACATTCTATCAGATTGGCGATTTTCAGTTTCAAAATGTGGACATTTCTGCAAACGGGATTGCTTCAATCTTCAGTTGTGGACATTCCAGCAAGCAGCTGATTGACTAATCATTCTTGGTACATGGACATTTCAATGGAAGCAAATAAAGAAAGACATTTTGTAGAATTGAAAAAGTGATGTTGTCTCTCGTCTTACAGTGTCATTAGTCACAATTTCGGTTTTCTTCTTCTTTGTCTTTGCGTTTGGTTTCGAATGCTCAGATCAGACCATCAGGTGGGCTGTCTCTATGAACTCGCATGTCAGTAGCAGGTCCTTCATGGTTCCCCATATCTTGCTCTGCATACTTTGTTCTTGAGGTCAAGTTTCTTTTCAAAGTTGTAGGTAAAGTGGGAGATCTGCAGAATGTGCTCAGGTGTTTGTGGTCCTGTTTGACAGGCACACTGTGGGGACTGTACAATCTTTATTTTAACGTGGTAGTTGACCCTGCAGTGTCCTGTCTGTAGACAGAGAATTGTCATATGTTGCTTTCTGCTGATGGGCCCTTGTGGGCGTCAGTTTTATGATTAGTCTCCTTTGTGCAGACATTTCAGAATTCTGGAAGGATGGAGTTCCAGGATTGAATGTGGTACATACAGTGTTGTTTCAGCTCTGAAAGTTGCCTTAAAGGGAAAGTAACTCTTAGAAACTTTAGCGAGTCCTTCTTCCCAAGACTGAATACAATATTTATATAAAAACATTCCATATAGTTTGTAATATTTTCAGGTTATATATAAATGTGGCTGTTGAAAATTATTTCCCACCTTTATATATTTTTTAAAATATATAATTATTAACATATGTAGTTACTGTATTGTCCATCTTTATTTTGCCTTTATATTTTTTTTATATAAAGTTATTATGTACAAAGTATTGTTATAAAATTATATGCTTGTGGGTTTTAAAAGAGCTGCTCCCCCCCCCCCCCCCCCCCAACCCTTATATATATGTATGTACATAAAATTATGTTCAATCTTTTGTATGAAAAGAAAAAAACCAAAACGTATTTGTGTTCTTGTGCTCCACAGTACAAACAAATCCTGTGAATCAGGTTTTTGCAAGCTTGTTTAAATGTATTAAAAATAATATTATTTGATTATAATGAAATTTGATAACTTTCTCTCCTATTTGGTATCATCGTGAT